AAGCCGCTGCCGGCAGAGCAGCCCGAGCAGGGCAGCCGCAGCCCGCTCCGCCCGGGACCGCGGGAGCCGCCGCTGCGGCATCTCCCCGGCAGTTCGCTCTGCCGGGGTCCCCGGCAGGGGGGCCGGGGGCGGGCTAGGCTTTGATTCATTCGACTCGAGTGGGTGTGTGAACCCACGCGTTTCCCTGTGTGTGGCCAGCGCGGGGGCAGCCCTCTCCGTACGCAGGGCGCTTCCCGTCCTTGCCTTCCACACGCGCGGGCGCTGCGAGCCGGGACGTGGGTACCGCGACCTCGGAGCCCCGAGTGACGTTTCCATAAGCACCAGCCTTCAGAAAACCTTCGGCTGCCCGAAGGCTATCGTGGCCTCCGCAGGCTACCGTGCAGCGGTGTCGTTAGCGGCAGCGCGGAGCCCTGTGCCGCCGGCGCCGGCACCGGCACCGGCACCGGCGGGAGTTTCTCCCGCAGCTGAGAGGCGGCGGCTCCCCCGCTCGCCCCGTCCCGCCTCCCGCACGCCCCACAGCGCCGGTGGTTCTGCAAAGTTCCCGTCAGCGGATCGGCGTGCTGCTTAACCGGCCCGCGCCCGAAAAAAGGCGCACTGTCATAGAGCTATTTGTGGTGAAATCCAGGCAACCCCCCAGCTCCTGTCGTCCCGTCCCGTCCCGTCCCGTCCCTTCCCTTCCCTTCATTTTCTCAAGGCAGCAGGCGGTCTGGAGTCCACCTGCACTTCTCTGCTAGCGACGGAAAAGAGCACAAGTCTTGTAACAAGTGATTATTAGCAATTCACAGCAACTGCAATTAGCCAAAGTCAACACGAAAGAACTGCTGTATAATCTAGTAAAGAGACGTTTAGGTTGAAAAAAAAACCTAAAGTGCATGACTGGGAATTAATTGCCTGGCTCACAGCGGATTTTCCCTAAGCTGCCTCGTTCCTTCAATAAATAACTTCGGGAACAGAACTCTCTCCAGCCAGCTCTTCTAGGCATCATGTAGGAGTTATTCTAAAAGCAAGATTGCATCTTCCAGCAGAACTTTTTTTTTTTTTAAACTTAATGTCATAATTAAAAACGACTCCCCCAGAACTTGGAATTTATGTCTAAGGGAGGAGGAAGCAAAGATTTATGCTTCCGAGCTTTTTGATCACGGTAAAGCGATCACCTCTAGCAGAGCTTTTTGCTTCCAAATTACCATCACGCAAGTGAAATTTTGTCCTTTCCCATTCTGAAAGCAAAGGGGAATATTCTTATTACCCTGACGCCTGGTGCAAAGCTCCACACACCTGAGGAGAATTGAAGTCACTAAAAATCGCATCTGTGCTGTTCTTAGCGGAGTCAAAAGACGCATGATGTGCAGACCCAAACTATTTTTTGCCCTGAATACACTTGGCTGCTGTCACATTTCCAAGTTCTCACCGCAGAAAATCCTAATTTATTCTAAAGTTCCCAATACACACACAAATCCATGTAGCTCGGTCTACCGCATCTCTCTCTCTTCTCTGTGTATACATTCTACCGGCATACCTTACGCATGTATACGTGCATCCATGCATTCGTACAGAGCATGCAAACTTCCACATACATCCAGCTAGATACAGAGGCACATACAAACACGCCGCGTTGTGTATGTTTGTCTGTCTGTCTGTGGAAGACCGCACTGTGATTCCCTCTCTGTAGCCGCACCGAGTACATTGATCTGCGTCTATATGTACACCGGGATGCCCGTGGTTCCGACCACCCCGAGACCAGAAGCAGCGCCGACCCCTCTTCCTCCGTCTGACGAGATAATCTCCAGCGCCCTGGGGGGCCCATTCGGCAAGTGAGTGTTGGGGGGGACTCCCCAAAACAGCGGGGGGGATGGGGATGGGCATGCCGGGCGCCGCAGGCCCCTCGGGGGGCATCGGGCTGGTGATGGCGGGGAGAAATCCCCTCTGCCGGCTGCCGTCCGACTGCGGCTGGCGAGTTTGCTGCTCCCCCTCTCCCGTCTGCGTGTGTGTGTGTGTGAGAGTGCGCCCACCGGGGCGGGGGCAGGGTTCACTTCCCGGCCCCCCCCCCCCCCTTGCCGGCGAGGCGGGTACCTGTTGGGCAGGGAGCGGGGGACGAGGTGCTCCCCGATGCGGGCCGGCCCCCGGCAGCGCTCCGGTGCGGCGCTGCGGGGCTGGCCGCGGGCCAGGCGCTCCGCGGGGTGGGGCGAGGTGCGCCCCTT